AAAAATAATCCATGGACTCGTAGCCATCACAAAATCCATGTTAGACTTCTTCTCAAAACGCACCAAGAAAAAATCATTCTCTATATCAGTAACAAAGATTTTCTCATCTCTCTCCCACATATTCTCAAGTCTCTTCCTTACGATATTGATCGATATCCCCTTCCCCAAAAGTTTAACGATAAGAGATTTTTTTCATGGTTTCCAAGCCTTACTTTTTGAATTCATCTGAAAGCTTGGAATTTGTTTTATCGTCTTCACGCATCTCAACAGTCACATCCTCCAACACTAGATCAATCTCTCTATCTCCTTCGCCTTTTCCATCCATTTGCATCTCAGCTTCCTTTTCGATGTCATCATCTTCCTGATTCTCATTCCCCATTGTGTCTCATCAGGACCTCCTTGAAGCTTGTATTGCCCTCCATCCATGGCTCTTCTCTTTGAGTCAGCATATGATCATTGGAAAAGGTACATTCACTCTTGTATTTTTTCTTTGTCCTCTGCAGATTATCAACCTCATCAAAAGCCAGTTTACAATTGATAAGCTGCTGCATGATTTTGCACAGAAACCCTAGTAGAGTGTCATTTGTATACACTTTCCTTAGCACTTTTCAATTATTGCATCCAAACGAAAAATAACTTTGGCTTTAAAAAAAATTATTTAAAAAAAAACAACTCACAAAAACCATTTTTTTCAAAAGCCTATCAAAATGATCCTTAAAGTTGTTTATCGTCAAATTAAAACAATTTTAACCGAATTCCAATCAAGAATTTGAAATGGAAGAAAATTAATTAACTCGTTTTGTTTGATTCTCTTTTTATAAAAATTAATTGTAAAATTTGAGTTGTTGTTTTCACTTAAAAAATTAATGAACAAAACCAAAACGAACTCGTAGAATTATATGTGTTCGTGATTTTTTTAATAACTTACATGCATATAAGATGATTATGATTCAATTTGTTGTTGTTCTATATAAATTTTTAAGTACTTTATAATTTAAAATCGTCAAGTAATTATTTGTTTACATACATTAGATGATGTTTTTGTTTGAGATTTTATGCTAATTTTTTGTGAGCGTATTGAAAAAAGATTATATTTTTTAAGATGTCCGTATTTTTTTATAGTAATAACTAAGGTTCGCTTTTTCTGCAGTTACTGCAGATAGATTATTTGCAGTAAGCCCAATACAACGTCGTTTTGGGACAGAAATCATGGTATTTTGTAATTTTAATTTATTTCAGGGTTATAATAGTCTTTATATTTATAATATTTTAAGATTTCAATGCCAAAACGGCGTCGTTTTGGGAGTAAATGCAGATAACTTATCTGCATTAACTGCAGAAACATTTTTCCCAATAACTAATGTTCAATTATGTATCCACTTAATTGAAAAAATATAAAACATTTATATTGCAAATAGTTAAGGTATTTAATTAAGGGAAATAGATCAATTATGTTGTAGGAAATTGGTTGTGTCATGTTATAGACACAACCAATGTGGACCCCACCTTTTTTTTTTTTATTTTAAAAGTTGTGGGGTCCACATTGATTGTGTCTATAGCATGACACAATAATTTCCTACAACATGATAAATCTATTTCCCTTTAGGGCATGTTTGGTGCATAGTATATGATAAGGCTTGATAGTATAAGACCTGATAGTATAAGGCCTGATTGTATAAGACCTGATTGAATTTTAATAGTATCCAGCGTTTGGTACAGTATTGTACAAAATAAGATATTGTATAACATAATATTATCTAGTATTTGGTAATGCACTGTATAATACTATATAGGATAAAAATACATTTTTAATAAAAATATCCTTTAATAAATAATTTATATAGTTCTTCAAAAAATATCATAAAATATTAATTTTTATAAAAATTGATTGATAAGGGTCCAAAACATAAATTAATTTTTATAAAACTAAAAATAAAAATATTCAATATTTTAAAAATTAATATATTGAAAAATTATTTTTTATTTTAATATATTAATATTAAAATAATATATTAATTTTTGAGAATTACACTAGTCAACGAAATTAATACATCAACCTCTTATCAGGCCTTATCCATCTCCCTTAGGCCGGATTAAGTTATACATCGTTTTGATGTATTAAGGGATCCTGCTGTATAAGCTTATACTATACGATGGTCACACCAAACAACTGAAAATGTCATAACGTATAATATAAGCTTATACTATTAGACCTTATACGTCACATCAAACAGGCCCTTAATTAATCTCCTACAAAAGAAGAGGGGAGATATTCTAACTACCAAAAATATTCACTACCAACTCACTACCTTCACAATTACCATTGGATCAAAGAGAGGGAATGTTAAAAAGTTTTTGAAGAGAGAGAAAATATTTATCCAATAGTGATTATGGAGGTAGTGGGTTGGTAATAAATTTTTGAGTAAATACCCTTTTTGATCCCTAACAAAAAAACACGGTCCTCATTTTAGTCCCTTACAAAAATAAATTAGTCAGTTAGTCCCTAACAAATTCAAAGTGGACTCATTTAGTTGAAATCGTGGTCCCTCACAAATTCAAAAAAGACCCATATTAGTCCCTAAAAAGGACTAAAATGAGTCCATTTTAAATTTGTTAGGGACTAACTGACTAATTTATTTTTATAAGGGACTAAAGTGGGGACCGTGTCTTTTGTTAGGGACCAAGAATGGTGTTTACTCTAAATTTTTCTAGTAGTAAGAATATCCTCACTCCAAAAAAAATACTTGACGAAAAAATCGATTTAACCAAAGCTGTGAAAGAGATTGATTTGAATAAGGAAAAAACATTTATCATTTTAAAAGAGGGTTATTTTAGTTAAAATTATTATTTTTGTTTAAAATTTAAATAAAATTTTTTATTTTCTCTTTTTCATAATTTTTATTACGTATCTTTTTTTCTTTTGGAAATATTTTATTATATATCATTTTCTCTTAATTAAAAGGACATAATTTTATCCTTTTTTTTTTTGGAAATATTTCAATCGGTTCATCGCTTCGCAACTAATCCGATTCGGGGCGGGTCCAGGATTAAGACTTTAAACCCCTCCCAAAGGTGGTACTGTAATTTTATCTCTTTTAAAAGAATAATATCACACTCTTTGAATAATATAACCTTTTTATCTCAAGAATCAAAGCATAAACAAACGGTCGATAAATAATATACCGATAATCAATTCTTTTTTATTTTTCCAAAAAACAAAAATATCCATAATGATACGTGCATAGCCGTCTCTGTCACCAAGTCCTTATCCAAGATGAGTAAGAATCTGCTTCGATTAGCTTTTAAGAGTTTGGATGGTGAGTTTTTATGTATTGCTTTTTTTTAAATAAATTTTTTTAAAAGATAAAATTATTTTACGTTTGGATGTATAATCTGAAAATCACTTTTACATAAAAAAGTTGTTTGAATGTTAAAATAAAAAAAATAACTTTTTTATATAAAATTACAATAAAAGAGAGATAAAATAGCATGATCTTAGGATAAGAAGAGATAAAATAGGTATGATAGGGTAAGGTTAAAAATGTATTTTAAAAATTTATATTATCTTTTTTCAAAAAAATAAAATTATATTATCTTTTAATTTCTGTTTTTTTTCCAAAAGCAATCAACTACTGGCTACAAAAAAAAAGTAGTATTTTAACTTTTATTTTAAATTTTGCTTTTTTAAAAAGTTGTTAACCAAACATCTAAAAATTCTCAAAAGGACTTTTATTTAAAAAAAATAACTTTTTTAGGAATTAAAACTCAACCAAACGGGTACTATAACATCTTATAAATGAAAAAATATTTGCCATTCTAAGAGATAAAACTTTATTTTGTTGATATTTTATTTTCTCTTCCATAATATTTTTTTTCTCTGTTCTTCTAATTTTTTGGATGAAAAAAAGGTAAAATATTATTAAAAAACAATAGTTTCACTTAAAATGATATACAATTATATATTTTAAAATAGTAAATATTTTTTCTTTTATAAAAGTCATATTAGTTTTCAATTTAGATACATTGAAAGTATTTTTTAGTAAAAAATTAAATACTATTTTGATTATTTTTTATTAATAGACTCACAAGTTTTTTTTTTAAAAAGAAAAACTTTTAAAAAAACTTATTGAAACAGCCTAAACTTATTTGGTAAGCAGACGCCCAAAATATTAAGAGTATACTTTGAAAATATTCCCCCCCCTATTTTTAGTATGATAATATAAAATAAATTATAATCCAAAAATATAAATTAATATGAAATAAAATAATTTTTTTTTCACATACTATTTATTGAATACACACATCATAAAATATTATCAGTATTATTATATTATATATACACTGTTTTTTAAAAATATTATTTATTAAATACATTTTTTTGGCGTTAAAAATAAAATACATGATATCATCAAACACATTTATTTTCTATAAACCCTTCTTAAGCCGTAAAATAAAATAAAATAATTGCCTTGCACATCTTAAATATTCACTTTTTTAGTACATTAAATATCTATTTTATATATGTAGTGTTGTTGGTGATAAAATATTATACATATCTTTTTTTATCTTTATTATTTTTTAATAAATCATAGGTACTTTTCAAATGAAGCAATTTTATTCGAAACGGGTTCAAGATTAAGGTTTTAAACTTCTTTTAAATATAATACTAGAAAAGATTAAACGCATATCCTCACCCCATCTACTCAATTTTTATGCGCCAACTAAACTACCGTTATTTTTTTTTTTCATATTTATTTTACATACTCCTTTCCAATACCATTATTATTAAATAGTAGATTGACATGAAAAAAAATATAAGGATAAAACCCAATATCCTATCTCATAATAATTTTGCTTAAAATGAGTAGTTGTTTCCCATTAATATGATTTAAATTTCAAAAAAATTTGGCGACACGTGTAACAATAAGGGCGCGGGTGTACGATAAAAAGACTACAGCAACGAGAACATCTCTGTGATCGTGTTTCTGAGGCCACAAAAAATAAAAAATAAAAAAAGTAAAATCTGACACTGTTATGTTACAGAGTGTCGCCCATGGCGGAAAACGGAAGGGGAAGCCCAATCCTTCTCTGGTGGTTTAACACAAGTGTTAAGGTTGCAACATTGAATAGCCCCTTTTCCTCAAAGAAAGTTTTGGTTTTGATGAGTTGAACACAACAATGGGTTCTGATTCGAATTTGGGAGGGTCACCTTCAGCCTCAGCATCATCGCCCAGTAGCAAGCGTACCAGAGATCCCGAAGAGGAAGTTTACCTCGACAATCTTCGCTCTCACAAGCGTTACTTAAGCGAGGTTACCAATTTGCCCCTTTTGTCCCATTATTCTCATTTTCATGTTTTACTAAAAGAAAGAATATAGCTTCTAATTTTATTTTATTTTCCTTTTCGAAGTTTTAATTTTTAACCCTTTTGTAGTAGTGAGTCATTCATGTGAAATGGGCTATGATGGGGTTTCCAACTGTTGTTTATTTATTGCTTGTTTCAGTTTACTTGTCAAGGTGATCCTTTGCAGTTTCTACATTGAATGATATATAGGATTGTATTATTAGTGGTTTCTAAATATATATATATATATTTGTGAATCACAATATTAATTTATGAATATTTCGCTTGTTTTTCAAATCAAATTTGAGAGACTTGACCTTGAGGCCTTTTATAAATTACACACCACTTGTTATATGAAAAGGTACTTTCTGTTTGAATGCTTTGATCATGTACATCTTTGTTTAAATTACTACCTCTTGATTTTGAATTTTCATCTATGCTTTTTTTACAATCAAATGAAATGATCTAATGAGGTGAATCCTACGCATTGATCATACGGGTAAGTCTCGTACATCAATCATATGGGACTTAATGTCACTGTGGAAGTTCCTCATGACAAATATACAGGACTTTACATTAACTATGGCATGGTTGACGTGTTGGATTGACCGCATTATTTTGGATAACTATTTCAAAAATTAATTAAACATTTTTTTTTTTCCTGAAAGACCGTATGGTCAAAAAGCCTAGATTAGAGTCACTTAACCTATTGTTTCCCTGCCCAGATAATGGCATCCAGTCTTAACGGATTGACAGTTGAAGACTCACTTCCTGATAATCTAATGGATTCTCCAGCAAGGTCTGAAAGCACATTTTCCCTCAGGTAAATCACGGCCACCTTTTTTGATATTAGTACACTACTATAATATTCCCAGTTTGAAAGTTTATAAACAGCTATTTCCTCAGATTAGGTTTATCTTCTAGCATTTCAGTAGTGACTATTGGGTATTAAATTTAGCATGGACAATATATGGCAAGCTTCTAATTGCTGATTAAATGAGTTATTGCTCGTCTTCTTTTTTTCTTGTGTGATCCTTCTCTTTCATGCTTCAGAGTTTGGTTAAAAAAAATTAAATCTTCAGTTAGCCATTCAAAGATATGGCAAATAGTTCTGTGGGATGCTCTAATTGCAGCTACATGGGACTTGCAAACTATTTTCACCATAATGCTGCATGACATTATGCTTTCTTTCTTTCTTTCTTTCTTTATTGAATCTATCAACTAGATTTGACGTGTTTAAGTGTTGAAAATGATATCCCTTTGCTATCCCATAATAAAAGAGAATCACTAAAATTTTCCACATTATGGTTTTGTTTGCAAAGCAACTCCAAGCCTGAATTAGGTAGAAGGCCTTCTTGTGTGTGGTAATGGCCACACTCCATATTTTCGCACCAACGCATGCATTCACCTTTTTTCAACAAGATAACTTATTTCAAATATTCAATAGCGTTATATGTCCTAGAGTACAAAAAACTCAACCTTCATTCTTTCGGGGTTTAAACTGCCATATAGCATATGGTAATTGGTCATATTAACCTTGTAAACCATGGGAATTCCTTCATTTTCATTGTCGAACAGTCCCTCTTACTAGTGTACCTCTTGTTTACCCTTATGTGGGCTATTTGATGTAAAATGGAAAGTAAGAGAAGTAGGAACTAGAATTCAAGACCAGTTACTTTCCATCCATAGACACTGTTTACTCCAAAAGATTTGTAGAGAGGATATTAACATAAAAAAATTATTTTGAACAAGCTCCAATAACAATAGAAATGTTTCCCTGTGAAGCATGAATATAGCAAAATAGTTTGTCTTGGACTAGAGTTCTTTCACAATTTGGGCAAATTCCCAGCTTTCTGCCAACTGTTAAGTGGCTTTGATCCGTAGACATGTTTGTTGCCTGATTTCTTCTGCAGTCATGTTTATATAAACCGTAAGCATTTTTTCCTGGCTTGGTATAATTTAAAATCCATTTATAAATAACTTCAAATGTATGCATACCAAAAATTGTACATGTATGATAGACATATTTTAGTTGTTAACTCTACATATTTGTTGTTTCATATCCTACATGTTGAAAAACTGCTATATTACCTTATGGTGTTTGGTAGGAGGTAAATTTTGAAATACCTAGGATTCTGAACTTCACATTCTTAGATTGCAATGTTTGGTAACAAAAAAAGAAAATTATCCTGGGAAACTACTTTTTCCAGATTTCCCTCTTATGTGCAAAAATGTATCCAAAATCCAACCTCAAAATATCATTCAACATGTAGTATTTTACAAATCCTATCCAAGGGGAAAATTTAACAATTTTTTTGGACAAAATTAGCCCTTCTATCTTCATCCTGTTCACCTTCTTTTTCTTCTTAACGTGTTGTCAACCCCAATGAGCACCAGATTCAAGCAAATCAAATTCCCACACTCAGTTAGCACCACACTTTGATCACCTTGAATTGAAGCCTCCGCCACTCATACTAGAAACCTCTTATTGCACTAATGAGCAAAAGAAGAAGACAATAGTTGCATCATTGAAACTCATGTCTAAAGCAAGTGGAGAAATTATTTTGGGAATGCTTTGGCAAGAACACTGACCCCAATATTCGTAAATCAACAAAACTCAAATCTTCTCAAGTTTCTGGAAATTGAATTCGAACTAGATGACAGATTTCCGTGTTTTTTTTTGTCAGTTTAGGGGTTAGTTTTGTAAAATGATGCATATTCCCGGCAATATTTTATAATTAACTAAACATAGCATCAGGAAAATTGACCCAACTTTCTCGAAAATATTTTAACCTATCAACAAACTTTTTGGTAACATTCTCGGAAATTTCATTTTCCCACAATATTCTTGAAAATTGTGATTCCCAAATAAAAAAAAAATTTCTCCTGCACCAAACGTCCCCTATGTGTAAGGTCATAAATGTATTTCCATTTGGTGTATGTATTAGTTTATAGTTTTATTCAAATTTAATAATAAATGTGACTCAGGCTGCGGACCGCCTTTGAATAATGGCATCAATACTCGAAGAAGGAATCGATCTTCCTGATGCTTCAAATCCTATCTTTCTATTTTATAGTGTTGTACCCATTGTGTGTATTTTCGTTCACTGTGCTTTATTCTAAATGATGAGGTATATAACTAGACATGTTTTTTTGTGAAAAATAACTAGACATTTTTTGTTTGATATGAAATGATAATTTGCCAGCACCAACGGTTAACTGTTTGTTAAAATAAATTCGTTCTATTTTCCAATAATTAGCAAATGTTTCAAACAATTTTTTTTATTTTTTTTTATTTTCAGGGATGATATGTTTTTACAGTATTCACCTATGTCAGAAGACTCAGATGACTTGAGGTATTGTGAGACCCCTGTGCACAGTTGCTCATCCCAACCTGACAGCCTTCCCAGTAGTCCAGTTTCTCCATACAGACATCAAAGACCACAGAATGTTTTATCTTCAGCACCTTCTTCCACAAGTTCAAATGCTTCTCATGGCTCTACCGTTTCCACCATTACCTGCTCCCAGCCACGTCAGCGGGGGTCAGATTCTGAGGGCCGTTTCCCATCATCTCCAAGTGATATATGCCATTCGGCTGACTTAAGAAGAGCTGCACTTCTAAGATCCGTGCAGATGAGAACACAGCCTCCTAGTTCTGCATCTTTGGAGCTGCCATTTGGTTCTGGCCAAGAGTCTGTTCCTAACATGGATCCTGAGGAAAGGTCATGCTCATACATGAAATCTCTGGTTGATGAGAGAGAGTATCAAATTGAAGAGTGTTCATCAATGGGTATTCCTAGACCCGAGTTTAACCATGATAATAAGCCGTGCAGGCTCTTAAATGTGAACGCGAAAGAAGCTGATCCCGGAGGTTAGTTGCTATATTTGGAAATCATTTGTATCCACCTGCCTCCAATATGAGAGTCGCTTGTTAATTTTTGTCCAAAAAGTGTTGGTTTCCATCTTACGAGAATTTGTTATCCCACTTAACCCCATTCTTATGTGAAGGTGTTCTCCCTAGTATTTATTCCTGTCTTCGAGATATTTTACCTTTTGATTTCATTTTGTTTTTCATTCAATTAAGTTGAAATTGTTGTATTGTCTTCATTTCTTATAATAGATATAATCAAAAGGGAAACAAGTATCGAATACATAACCGTCACGTTATAAATTTAGTCCCAAAATCGCTCAAGAGGTAAACTACAGTGGGGAAGAAAGAAGATGAATCTTCTTGACCCCAAAATCGCCATGCATGATAGGGTCATTTTAACATATTCAAATTAAGCATTACAAGTTTCCACGTTGAAAATCTCCCAGCAATTTCTATATCAAAGTCAAACAATCATCAGAAGGAGCTGAGGTGGAACACTAGCTTCCGAGAGATGGTTGACAGTCACGCCAACAAGTCAAGCATATGTCAACAAGATATTTTTCTTAAGAGTGAACTCGTCGGCCTTCACAGGGCTGATAGACTGCATCAATCAACACAGGCAATGAGTAGCGCAATATTGCAGGTATTTACAACAATTTGTCCACTTCAACTCTTAATCTCATTTTACAACTAAATACTTAAAATTTATCACAAAATAATTATTTTGAGAAACCAAAGTGAATCTCAAGTTACACTCGAAAGTTCAATCATGGTAATGATTATTTCACGAATAAGTAAACTTTCAAGGTTTCTTTGACTGAAAGAGAATATTTACCTTCTCAAGCATGCGCTGTAGGCGCTCGATTTCTTTCTTAGCATAATCAGAACCTTTCTCCATGTAATTCTTGGCAGCTTTCAAGTAAATCTTTCCGTACCTAATCATAAAAAACAATAGTTTCTTGATTGCATCTAGTTTCTTACTTTGGGCAATTGGGCAAGTAGTATAGAATATATGCAATACAAAAATGCAAAATTGAGCTATTCGTAATTGACATAATGATAAAATATTGACCATAACAATATTTTAGATGGCCGATGTTAAGTTACCTTGAAGACGAACCCTTAAGCTTCTCAACTTCCTCTTCTATTCGGGTAAACACAGCCTTCTTCTCTTCATCACTGGCAGCTACAAATTCCTTTACCAAGACATCCAAGCTTTCTACTATACCAGACTATACAAAAATATTAAATGTATGAGCAAGATATCAAATGCAACAACTATTAACTTTTTACCATAAAAAAAAGTGTTAAAAAATAAATAAATCTTGCTTCTCATTTTTCATCTGAACTCACTAACTTTGGGAGTAAGTTGTCCTTGTCCATCCCGACTCGTTCCACATTTCTCATTGATAAAAGCCACAAAGTCATCTAAGTCTCTTCCACCTCCGTACTCTTCACCGGCTTTATTGCCCTTGGGGAAGAACTTCAAGGTAGGAAATCCACTCACATCATACCTGCATAAATATTGTTCCAGAAAACTCAATTGTATATCATATTATAGTCTTGCACTTCCGTAGTCTTCACTAGCTGTTGTTTTTCAGTTGTTAATCACTACAACTGCAGAATTTAATTAAGTATCATCTTATGAGCAGTACCAACACTTTGTCTATCTGTTTCAGTTCCCATATATTTTTTCTTCCTGCTATATGATATTATAGTCCATATCTGAATTACATTGAAATATAGTCCATGAACAGGTAAAGATTCATATATTCCATCACATTAAGACAAGAAAGACAAATATGAAAATGCACTGTGCTTAAATTTTACTTCTATTCGCCTTCACCTCTAAAGTTTGATTCATTTAGATCAAAAACTATTTCTTAGCAAAATAGATTGGATAACTAACTTACTTTTCAGCCAGATCCCTATATTTATCAGCATCCAGATTTGCAATCACTACATCTTCCTCCAATTTAAATGCAGAGGCAACTTTCTCGTAAGTCTGAAGGACAAAAGAACTTAGTCAAGTTTCCCATTATTGCTTTCTAAAGGCCCTAACCTTAAATTGATAACAAGAGGAAACCTCGAAGATATGCACTTACAGGAGCAAGACTTTTGCAATGTCCACACCTGGCAGAATAAAAAAAGTTTATAAGATCTAGCAATAACTGAGTTTTCACAATACATGATGAGTGAATGAAGTCTACCAAAATTTGGTCCAAAATAAATAAATGGAATTAAAGATTAAAAATAGAGAAAAATAACAACACAAAAATTATTAGTGAGTACCATGGTGCATAAAACTCAACCAATACATCTTTGGTTTCATCCAAGACAACCTCGTTGAAATTTTCAGGTGTTAGCACCACTACATTGGATGGAACTGAAGCAATCTTCACATTAGTTCCTGTAAGCCAATCCTCTGGTCAGGAAATCCCACTATAATTTCAAGTAAGAAAAACATAATAGAAGGAAAAAGGAATACAAAATTGTGCTGATGCATATTCTCAGTATCACCATGAAGCAAAGGGTCTTTTTGATTTGCTAAAAATGAGGAACAACATAGTACAAAATATTATCTTTGGTTTGTTTTTTAAAATAGTATGTGTACTAGACAAAAAGTAGCTCAATGGACAACATAAAATTCTAAATTTTTGGTATCCACTGATCTAGATTTCAAAATTTTGTCCATAGCACAAAAAGAGAAAAAGACGAATAATCTCTTCCCTTTCATTTTCCCAGCTCTATTGGCTACGAAAGAATGCACAATACAAAGGATATTACAATAAATTTTTCATTATTTAATGTAGTACTTATGTGTATTAATTATTAAACAACGGACATTACAAAAATTTTGCTCCTGTGCATTGATCATCAAATGCAGTTTGTGCGCCATTTTTCTGTTTGTGTTGTCCCTCAATATGGAATCAAACAATCCTAAAAAATCTAGGGAATGTGTGCAAACTGCGATATTCTAAGACATAAAACCTAAACTTTAGTATCTCAGAAAAGTCTATCCCACACAAATTTTGGAAAAAAAAAAATGCTGGTGCAAATTGGATAATTTGTGATATGTCCATGTCAAGATAGAAGATACTACATTTCCGTAGAAGTTACACAAACAAGTTAATATCTCAATGCCATTTTCTTCATAGATTTTAAAGCAAATTGGCTTGAAAAGCGCTCATACAGTACCTCCTTCTGTATTTACAAACTCAGTAAGTGATTCTGCATTGCGTGGGCCTTCATACCTATAGAAAATTACAAATTTCCCAAAAACAAGTATTAAATGCAAAAGGAAAGATAGATATGAAAATGCAAGTAACTATGAATTGAGGCATAAAAGTTTATCAATATTATGTTTCAAATCACCAAGGTCTCCTCACTTTTTGGGTTCCAGAGATCCTTTTGGAAACCACTGAATTGTAGGGTACCCAGACACTCCATATTTGCTGCACAGACTCTTATGCTCATCACAGTCCACCTACAACACATTAAAAAGTAAGCTTTGTGAATTCAATGTGTAATAAACTCATTGAATTATCAATGAGAAAGGCCAAAATGAAACCATAAAAAGGTACAAGTAAAAGAAGTACAAGGAATGTTCACAAAGTATATCACTATGCAATGCTCCCTCTCTAGTTTTTTTATATATATATATATAGAGAGAGAGAGAGAATAACATTTCTTCAGCTACTTGAGATAAGCTTATCTCCGGCCACCCTTATAAACTTATATTATTAAAGTTACTTTTTTTTCTCTCTCCAGAAACTTGTCGGCTGACGTGGAGAAAGAAAAAAAAATAACTTTAATATTATAACTATATACTCTCCGGAATACATAGTTATAGGGGGGTGGCTGAGAAATGTTTTTCCTATATATATATATATATATATATATAAGGAAAGGGGGAAGGAGATATGATTTTGAAGATGCAAGAAGAAAACTAAGAGTTAAAACAGTGAAGAAAAAAGAATCCCTGAGAAACATAGTAAATGTTAAAAGTTGTAGCTTAGACATTTTGGTTATGAAAACAGGTATATAACACCAACATGCTCCATAGTAAGAATGGGATTACCATTAAAATACAGAGATAATCATAAACAGATAGAAATGCTTGAAGCTTAAAAAATACTGCAAAATAGATTATTATTTAAAGGTATGAATGCAGGGAAACACCAGGATGCTCACCTTGCCGATTAAAACAGATTTGGCTTTCTTGAAGCTGAGACCCAGCTTTTCATATTCTGGAGCAAGCTTTTTGCAATGTCCACACCTATTATGACAAACGAGGGAACATAAATATAATATAAATATGCATCTCACTTAGCTGGATAACAAATGATAAAACAGGCAGACAAGGCTTCAAAAAATAAAAATAAAAATAAAAAATCCTTCACCAAGTATGAGATAATACTTACAGTAAATTACAAAAAGGATTATTTAATTGTTAGTACAATGAATAGGTTATTCTCGAGAAGTTCTTAAAACGTGGAATGATTGTAACTTTTGTTTTGAGGTTTTGGGCAGGATTGCTATTAATGAAGTTTTCAAAGACTTGCTGGATATGTTGTTTGGGAGCATTTGTGCTTGACTTATTTAGCAGAGTAGTAATTAGAGGTTTTTTCTATTTTCTTTTCACCCCTTTCTTTTTGGAAGATATCTTCTCCTCTTCCCCGTATTTTCATTCTATTCAATAATATTTCCTTTTTTATTTAATTAAACAGCCTTTATTTTTAACCTGAAAATATTTCACATTGAGACACATAATCTCTATTATGAACTATGAAGTCACTGATTAGCTATCAGCCAATTAATGTACTCCAAAGTACAGAGGCTTATTATAAAACATTGTCACTCTTGTTCACAACTTGTAGAAAAGTTTCTGTTGTCTTGTCTTGTGTGTTTCTTTTCCTCTCTCAATGCTTCGTATAAGGATGACAGTTCAATTCTGGTAAATTATCTCAAGCTTAATTGTACCGGTTAGTTCGTATAGATTAAATTAGAGGGGTGTATTATACTCTTAATTATTGGATTAGAGGTAATCAAAGACTAGACTATAGCTAACTGCTATCCTGTATTAAATCAGCAGACAAGTAAAGAATAATATTATTTTCAATTTAATTTCCTTATCAAAAAAGAAAGTTAAAAATGAGAGGCACAAACTAAACTAGTGAGACTAGATTGTCCCGATTAACAAACTAGAGGACACTGATCATTGCTCTAAATTGAACCTAGAGGAGCTAAATCGGCATCGTAACATCTACAAGTCATAACTGAAAATCAACAGAAAGTAAAACGACAAGTTGAACCGTTTAGTGCCAAAAACAAATGCGAGGAATCAGCTAATTAAAAAGGCAAAGCGAAACCCTACCCTAACGATTTCAACGTTGTGAGAAACTCAAGGTAATCAGGGAAGCAATAGTTGATAGAAACAGATAAGAAGGGATCGAGAAATTACCAAGGGGCGTAGAACTCAACGAGAGCTCCTCTGTCCTGACCAACCTCCTTCTCGAAGTTTTCTTCGGATAGCACAACGACGTCGTCTGCTGATGCCGATAAGAACAGCAACGCAAACGCGAATGCTCCCAACGCTATTCTCCTGCTCCAGATCTGATACATCTCCATCTTCTTCCCCTTCTTCTTCCTTTCGGTTTCAGCTCAACTGCTACGGCACGTGAGGGATTTTATAGAAAACGCTGTTTCAGTTCAATTAAATTAAGCTATAGTGTTGTGATTTGGTGTATGATGGCGTACGGTTTCGTTCCTCCGTTTCGGTCACGTGGCATCGTGTCATTGCATCTCTTCTCAATAAAGTCATCGTTGTTGATGTGGCAGCACTTCACACTTGTTACCACCTATGACGTCTCGTTGTTGATGTGGCATTCAATGAGAGGTGCACAGTGTCAATGTACAAAGTATCCGAGCCACGTGTAAAGCATGGACACGTGGTAGAATGATTTGTTGAAAATGTATCACATTAATAACATGAACTACGATTATATTTGAGTCAAGTTATGAATACTTTAATTAATTTACCTCTCCAATCTAATTAAAGACAAATCCTAGATTAATACTATGTATTTAAGAAAATTAATTGTATGCAGAAGAACTCTGATAACATAACAGAAAAGCACCCTTCAGAAGTCAAGAGGAGGAAAGTCCCAAACAAAATACAAAATAATTAGTTTACTGAGAAACCCCAAGATTAATCTGAAAATTCGAAAATTGGTTTCCTTCTAGGTAAATAATATGGCATGGAAAAGCTTTTCAGCCAAAAAATTTCTGTTAAGCTAGCAGTTTAATTATATGTTTTTTAAGCAAAATAAGTTAACTTAAATAGACTTTATTGGATCATCTTATGAAGCATCTAAGTTAATTAATTCAATAGCTCTGACCGTCCAACGTCTTTGAAAAACGTAAAATAAAATTAACGAGCTTGGTTTGAAGAACATCCTGCTGGAACTTGAAAGTGTGAAATCACGCAACTAGTCACTATTTAGCAAAAGTAGAACTTGAAAATTGTAGCAGTTGAGCAAAAGTGGAGAAAAAATTGGACAAGTAGAAACAAGATGTGCCACATATTCATCCTCTTGTCATTTAGGCGAATATGTAATAACTCATAAAGCTAACACCAATCAGAAAAGATTCAATTTGTTTAGGAATTTCAAAGGTCAGATAGGCGTAGACGCGTAGTTATTGGATTATTAATTCATCCATATCTAAATTCAAATTGTAACAATTACAGAATGTGTATATTATTTGCTATTTTAGCTACAGGCAAAAAAAATTGAAATAATGTATTTAAATTAAATAATTACGTATTTAATGCTGTTTCGTAAAAAATTACACATCTACTACACAATGTTACGCCAGTTTTGATCTTAACACTTTAAAATAACTAGCTTTATAGTAGTTTAAAATTAATTAAATGTGATTAACATAAAATACAAATAAAAAAAATACAATTGACGTAATAAATAATTAGAAATTACCATGATATCAGCATCCTTTAAAAATAATACCAGAATTATTCCCTTTAATCAATAAATTGATTAGGCCTGTTCGTTTAACCTTATTTCATCTTAGACATGTGACACAAACATACCTTTTTTATGCCAAAAAGACAGAAGAACAAAAAGAAGCAGGATGCTTTAGGGTTCTGGGCCAATTAAAATTGAGGTCGACGAAGTCCACAGTCGTTTCTCCTAGCAAGCACATGCATAAGTCATAACAACGGAATTTCGCTTGAGATAACGTATCGAAGGCTTTATAAAAGTCACATTAGTTGTCCATATAATTAATGTGAGACTATATATCTCAACACCTTCCTCACACGAGAGCCCATTGGGCTTGAAGCGTGGATTATGCACAGGCCCAATTTTTGATTTACCTTTTGTGCTTTTTGTTTTAATTTTTAATTCCACTTGAAAGTGAGGAGTCGGCTCTGATACCATGTAAAGAACTTTGGGATACACCACCCCAAAAGCTAGCTCAAAGAGTGGGAGTGCCCAAGGTCTTATAAAGGCTACATTAGTTGCACATCTAACCAATGTGAGACTATATATCTCAACAAAATGCTTCAGGCTAGAGAATCACCTTGGCATAAAATGTGTCAATCGAAATTCAAAATTATTAAATAATGAATTCGTCATTAAATTTATTTAATTAAAGAAAAATTGAAAATAAGTTTTATTAAAAAACTGGATTTTGAAAAATGCTATCTAAAAATCTGATTATATATAAGGAATGATAGAAACTTGATTCCACTACACCTTTAATATATTCATTAGAGAATGGTTATATTAGTGAATTATGTATATCATTACTAAACTTTAAAAGTTATCTAATTAATTCAAAAAATATAAGTAAATGAATGAGATTGTTATTCATAAAGAAAAAATAAGTTGTTAAAATTTTATTTTAGCTCGATAGGAGAATTTCCGCTCCGACATATTTCTCGTACAATAGAAAACTCAAAATAATGTCATTCTTAAAAGTAATTTGCAGGTTGATTAATTTCAATTTTAAAATATTTATGGAAAATATAATTTGTTTAGAAAGGAAATTATTTGGTTAATATTTCTTAAAAATATCATTTTGTTTAAAAAAATCGCTTGGTTAAATTTAGAAATATCGAATCATTAAGTTGACGCATGATCTTTTCTTGTACAATCGTTAGGTGTTAACGGGACTAGTCGGGTCAAGCTTTGGTATTAAAAGGTTAAATCTGTGTTTAAATGTATTAGCCTGACCTAGACTGTTACCTGTTATGAATATAATTATCGACATGTAGTCTGTCTTATTTACAAAAAATAAAAGTTTGATTTAACCTATTAAAAAATAATAAGACAACAAAAAATTATCTAAAGTCTAAACAGAATATACGATCAACGATACTAATAATTCCACAAAAATTCATAAATTCAATGTATATCCAAACAATATAATATATAACAAAATCTTTAAAAAAGCCTGTTTAACGAATAAAATGAGATAAAATGGGTTGAGAAGAGAGAGAGTTATTATGAGTAGTATAAAAAATATAAAATAAAAATAAAAGTTAGTATACTAGACCAGCCTGAGAGGCTCTAAGGCCAGACTTTTGAATTGGAGTCTGTGACCTTTTTATTTAACGAGCTTTTATACAAGTCCAAACCTGATTTCAACAATCAATTTTAGACATATAAATGCAGACCTTCACAAGCCGGGTCGAAGGGCCTGAAAGGCCCCGTTTAGCACCCCTAACAATCATGTTTATTTTTAAAATTTGCTTAAATAATTATGAGAATTTTAGTTCACCAAACTATCACAACTCAGTTACTCTTTCTCTTTCTCGTAAAATAATATTTTTTTTTGAAATTTGTGTAAAATAATTCGGAAAATTTCAATTCACCGAGTTATCGCATCTTAAATGTCATTTAATAAAATATAACAGGATAATAAGTTGTTATAGCTAAATTATCCTTTTTAATTAAAAGTGAATTAATTTTTTACGCTGTATTTCCTAAAGTGATCTAGAATGAATAATTTTAATTTGGCCAAAATTACTTCAAATGAAATTTAGGAAATTAATCAGTGATCATAACTCAGCTAAACTCACTTTACTGTTTAAAAATTAATTTCTTATTTTTCTATTATCTCAAGTTTGAATAATCTCAATGATTAAAAATAACAGTAATAATAATATAAATAATTGTTGAACTAAGTAAATATATTTATATATACTAGGTAGAATTAAAAAAAAATCATTTACTTTCGTTTTTATTTATTTATTTTATTATTTATTCCATGTTATGATTTTTAAGATTTAGTATGAGATTACCTAAAGAAAATCAATTATGTCTAATATTTAGTACTAAACTGTAACGGCATTTTTTTAGCATGAATTCTTCCTAATTAAAATAAATTTTAATTTTCAAATTAAAGCAAAATAATCAAAAGATTATTTAAAAAAAAAGGAGTTTGGAGCTATCACAACTAAAGTGATCTTAATTATTTTGAGATTAATAAGTTGTTGCAGCTTAATCAATATTTTATTTAAATAAATAATTTTTTTTATACATTTTATGTTCTCCTTTTTTATATTTTATTATATAGTTTCCTTTTTTTCTCTTAAAATCAAACATTTATTTCCCAAAACCAACAATAATGGGTGTTATGAGATCGGGTTTGATATATATATATATATATATATATATATATATATATATATATATATATATATATAGGGCTTATCATTTCTCAAGCAGTCGGAGATAATTTTATCTCCGGCTACTAGATCATAACCGTACAAAGATGGATCAATGGTGATAAAGGAAGAGAGAGAAAAAAGGAAATCATAACCATTCAAAGGCGAATAAATTAATATAAGGAAATAAATAAACCAAACGACGTAGTTTTGGAGTAGCCGGAAATAAACTTATCTCAAGTTGCCGGAGAAATGCTTTTCCCATATATATATGGGGATAAGATCAACTTACACCGGTGTAAGAAAAATAATTCTTACATCAAATCTTAACCGTTGATTTTCGTTCATCTAATGGTTAAAATTTATTGAGAATTAATAATTAATTAATTAATGAGAACAATAAATCTTAATCGTTAGTTGCACGTATATCAACGGTTAAGATCTTGTGTAAGATTTATTACTCTTACATTGGTGTAAGATGATTCTACCCCGTGTATATAAGTATATATGGTAAAATTATTTCTGCAGCTGTTATCAAAAAAAAAAAAAAAATTATTTCTGCAGCCGCTTTACGTACAAGGTACAACAACGACAGATGTATGGTTATGATTTCTCACATTTAATGCTTTTATCCTTTGTATAATTATGATTCCCCACATTTAATGTTTTCAAATATATTTATATATATATATATATATATATATATATATATATATATATACAATCTGATAGATCGATATATATCCAATCAGAGATTGGTATGTTAATATAGGATCTATTTGTCCTCTCTAAGGTACCTATAAGAGAGGTGCCCTAGAGATCAGCGGAGCAATGTGCACAATATTATAAACGACATAGTCAAGGTGTGGGGCGTGTGCACAGTGACAAGCTAAGAGATAGGGTTTTTAGTGTGTGTACCTTATTGGCTTAACCCCTTATTTATATATGGGTTACCTGGCAGGAGTGAACTTCTGGGCCTCT